TGGGGGATCACATAGCCATCTCCATAGTCGGGAGGCAGGGGGGGCGGCAGCGGCTTCGGAGGAGGCTCTGTGGAGGTGGGAGGCAGGGGTGGGCCCAGAGCCCCCGTGCCTGGCACCCCTCCCTCCCCCAGCGGTCCCCATCCTACCGATCCTCTCCTCAGGGGCCTCCAGCCCAGGCCCGGACGGCTCGGCCTTCTCCTCTGGGGGCTTCGGCCAGGGCCGCTCGGGCCTCCTCCTGCTGGGGGGTGGCCGAGGCTGCTTCTGACGTCGGATGTACTCAACTGAGGGGGATGGCGGGCTCTGAGCCAGTCCAAGGCCCCCCTCAAGGGGAGAGGGGCTGGGAGGGCAGGGCCTATGGGTGGGCCAACCATCAGTGGACCCCGGGGTCGGGGGTCCGGGTCCAGACAAGGGCAGGGGGAGCCTACTCACAGTCCTCATAGTCCTCCCTCTCTATCTGGTCATTGTAGTCCAGGGTGGGTGGTTCGGTCTCCTCTTCTGGCTCTGGGGGAAATGCTCATGGCTGGCTTGTTGAAGACACTCACTGATGCCCCTACCCCGGCTCAGCCAGCCAAGGCAGCAGGTCCCCCACGGCCGGGGGGATATCGCCCACTCACCAGACTGGCGCTCCGAATCAGTTTCTCCTCCTGGACCCAGCCAAGGACTTGGGAGGGCCCCGCCTGCAACACAAACCCCACAAGCCGGTGGATGGGAAGCCCGCCCTGACCACTGGTTGTATCGGGAGCCCCCACAAGACCTAGGCCCTGCCGACAGCTCCCAAAGCTTGAGCTCACTCCCAGGAGGCCTGGACTGCTCTGGCCTTCAGCACCCTGCTGGTATCTCCTGGGGCCTGAGAGCTGGAGGGCTTTCTGGGGAGCCTAGGCCCCAGCAGGAGGGCACCCCAAAGACTCAGGGCCCAACAATACACAGGAGGAGGGATCCAGGTGGGGGCCAGGGGACAGATCCAGGACACTGGAGAGCAAACCCTAACCACGAGGCTGCCAAGCACCCCCTGCCCAGGCGAGGCAGCTGCCCCAAGGGAACTCCAACCAAATGGCTACGTTCCTGACAACGAGGCTCCAGAGCCCACCCTGTCTGCGTGGCCCTCAGGATCTATCTGCAGGAAGCAGAGGCCTGGGGACCCCCTCTCCCTCCCAGTAGCCTAGCAGGTCAGAGCCCCACAACCCCAAGACAGCCTGCACACACCTCCCCCGCGAGGCAGCTCCTCGGGGCTGGGGCTGGGAGGCAGGGGCCGTGGCCACCACGGGGTTTCGGTGGGGGGCCTCTTCCCAGCCAAGGGCCTCTTGGTGGCCTTGGGTGGTTTCTCCTTGGGCTTCTTGGTGGCCTTGGGTGGTTTCTCCTTGGGCTTCTTGGTGGCCTTGGGTGGCTTCTCCTTGGGTTTCTTGGTGGCCTTGGGTGGCTTCTCCTTGGGTTTCTTGGGTGGCCTGAGGGACCCCTCCAGGGGCTGCTTGGTTGCCTTGGGACCTTTGTCCTTCTTCCCTTTCTTCCCTTTGTCTTTGGCCTTTTCCAAAGGTGCTGTCACAAATGCAGACTAAAGTCAAATCAATGGGGATGTCACTCTATATCTCACGCGGCCACCCCAAGGTGCCCACAACCCGGGAATAGCGGCTCTCACTGGTTCTTGCTGGCCCTGTGTTTCTTGGATTGGGAAACCGAGAGGTGAAGTCACTTGCCCTCTTGGAAGAGCTGGGATTGGAACCCAGGCTTTCTGTTGGCAGCTCTCTGCCACCAACACCACAGCTTGGCCCAGGGAGCAGGCCCTCACCCTCCCACCCGCCAAAACTCAACAGAGGCCCCTCATCATCCTCTTCCCCACGTGTCCGCTCAGCTGATCAGGGAGCGTTATACTGTGCAGGGCACCGAAGGGGCAGAGAGGTGACTGAGCCATCCAGGCGTGGGGGAATGCCCAGTCTAAAGGGGAAGGAGGTCTCATCCCCACCAACTGCCACCCAAAGTCAAGGGCCTGGGCCTGGGGCCTCCCTGAAGCTCCCTGCAGAGCAAGAAAAAGGTCACTCATGTCCGTTTCGGGAAGTAAGGGGTCTGGGGTGGGTTGGCAGCTCTAACCAAGAGCGGGTCCTGGGGCCACATGGGGGGTGGGGGGACAGACAGGCACCGCAGCTGCTCAGCCCTCTCAGAGTCTGGGGGAGGAAGCGGGAGCAGGGCACGGGGCAGTCTGTGGGAGTCCTCCAGGCCCCTGAGCAAGTGCGAGGCAGAATGTGATGGGGGTGATGGCCGGAGGCCTAAACACAGAAAAATTTACAGAATGCACACAGCCAGGAGAAACAGGGCTGCCACAGAGGCATCCAGGAGGCCAGGACAGTAAGCCTGGAACGGGGAGTAGAGGTTGGCGGGGGAGGCCATGTTGGGTCCTAGGATCCGCCTCCCAAGGGGTGGGGAAGGAGCCAGGAAAGATCTAGAAGAGGACACAGGGGAGGGGCTGCTGACCTCAGGAATGATGGATGGTGCTTTGGAGTCTCCTGGGAGAGAGAGATCAACAGGACCCTTGCCCCCCTCCAGAAAGTCACCATAAACAGCTGAGGTTTATTGACAATATTATGTAAGAAGTCCTGGGCCCCGTGCCCTGCGATGCACCACCACAGTGAATCCACGGCCACGGAAAGGGCGCTGCTCACTGCTCCCGGCGGCAGCCCCCTCACCTGCCTCTGTGCTCTTGGAACAGGAGGCCAGGCAGGAGGGTGCTGGGGAGCCCTCCCAAGGAAGGGCTGAGGCTGGGACTCTGGGGGTGGCGTGGGCACAGCCACGGTGTGCCCCATGAGGACACGAGAGCAGCTCACAGGACAGACCTGGGGAGAGGCAGCCAAGTCCCCAGGTGGCTCAATGCTCGTCCTTCTGGGGGGCTGGGGGTGAGGGACGGGAGGGCCCAAACCGCGGATGTGCCTCGGTGCACAGAGGGCCACAAGCCAGGACCGACCTCTGCGTGGCGCAGGGTCCTGCCAGACATCTGGGCTCTCCTGTGCCTCACAGAGCAGACTGGACAGCAGCCAAACCCTTGCCAGGGCCTGCCATTGTCACCTGAGAGGTGGGGCGCCCCGAGGTCCCCCATCGCACGGCGGGCCACCCCCCCAGGCACGCCCCTGGGGATCTTACCCTCTTTGGCTACCCCCGGGCGCGCCCCCGGCTTGCCCCCCGTCTGGGCTTTGCGGGCGCGCAGGGTGGGCTCGGGGGGCGGCGACGCCTCCAGGTCGTCCTCCCGGGTCTCAGGCTCCAACTCCCACAGGAAACCCTCGAGGAACTCCTCGATCTCGTCGTCGGTCAGCACCGTCTGCGGGCGCCCCCCGGGGCACAGCGCCAGGAGCACCAGGAGACAGCCGAGCAGGGGCGCCCCGCGCCCGGCCGCCATGGCCGGGGCTTGCGCGGGGGGCAGGGGCGCGGGGGGCCCCCGGGGTGGCGAGGGGCGGGGACTCTGGGGAGGGGCGGCAGAGGGGTCCCGCGTGGGCGGGGGCGCCGGGGGCGGCGGAGGGCTCCGGGTGGGAGCGGGCGCGAGGATCCGGGGTGGGGCGAGAGGGCTCCGGGCCGGGCAATGGCTCAGGGGAGAGTGGGGGCTCCGGGGTGGCCGGGGGGCCTCTGCGGCGCTGGTGGCGGCTGGGAGCTCCGGCCCCGCGTGGCGCACTCCCGCGCGCACCGCCTCTCCAAAGCTCCAGTGGCGGCCGGGGCGGGGGCGCCAGGGCTTCCGGAGCCGGCTGCCCCCACCCCTGGGGAAGGAGGAGGAGGAGGAGGAGCCGGGCGTGGACGGAGGGGCTGCGGGGGCGGGGCGGGGGGGGCGGCGGCGGCGGCGATCTGTCCCGGCGCCGCGCGCTTGGCACTTTCCGAAGCGGTAACTGGGGCCGGCCGGCGTCCACGGCCTGAGGCCTGCGCCTAGGACGGAGGACCTGCGTGGGGGGGAGGGGGGTCTTGAGGGCGCAGGTCCGAGGGGTCCAATGCCGCCCCCCCCCATAATGGGTCTGCAGCACCGCGCTCGAGTCGGCTGGGACCGGGAGGCGAGATGCCACCCAGACCAATGGAGGGGGTTGGGAGCCCTGACGGCAGAGCCCAGCTGCGGCCTCTGGCCTCCGAGACCCTCCCCATCTCAGGGCTCCTGCCAGGCGGTGAACACCCCTGGCCAACCCATCCTTGCCTCTCTCTGGAGGCTTGGGCTGGCAACTCTGTGAACTGTCAACTGGCTTTCCTGCGGACGTCCAACTGATTTCCCGGTCTGTGGGCCCTGTGCTGGCTCCCGGTGAGGGACAGCTCTTCGGGAACTCACTCTCTAGTGGCAGGCAGGGGTAAACCTGCCCTCAGGGCAGGCCAGCTGCTCTGTTGGGGCTGGGAGTCCCTATGTAACGCCCCCCTCCCCCAGGTCCTGGCAGACAAGGGCAAGTTCGGAAGGGGGCAGAGACGGAGCAGGGAGGGAGGAGATTCCTTTCCCATTGTATTAAATCTGTGTATAATTCACAGGAATGGGACTCAGCACTCACACAATGATTTCCGTGCAAGGTGAAGAGTTTCTTGCCTGCCCCTACACCTGGATGGGCGAAGCCCATCTCTCTGGCCTCTCCGGCAAATGGTACAGCCTCAGGTCAAGCCAGGTCTGCTCAAGGGAAGATTTGCGGGCAGTGCCTGTGAGCCCAGCTCCATGTGGAAGATATGGGGGCCACAAAGGCAAAGTAGACCAGACACTGCCCCCGAGGACCCAGCTGGGGAGAGACTTTGTGTGCCTTTAACCCAACTGAGCTGTGTGCTGGGATGTGCCCTGTGGACAGTCACTGGACACTGAGGCAGGAGATGCTATTATCTGGGGCTCGTCCCCTCCCCTAGAGTTTCTTCTGTTTCCTGTAGTGGGCACTGTCTCACCTCTGCAGATGCACGGCTTTCCCACCAGCTTAGATCCCAACACGGACAGCCACTTCTCTCGTTCCTCTTACCAGAACCTGGTTTTTTAAAGACTGTTTACAGTAGCTCCAGCCACTGCATGCACCTGGGGGCACATATATTGGGTAGTCAGAGAATCTCAGGATTAATCAATAATATCTGTATGGGTGCCAGCATAGATCAGAGAATCCAGAATAGATTAGTAATGTCTGCCACGGGTGCTGGCATAGAGAGCTAGGATACGTGTGTTTCCATAGGCTCCTTGAAGGGTAAATGTCAGCTGGTCCCAAATGGGCCTCACACCTGAGGCTGGAGCTCCCAGAGCAGAAGGAATGAGGAAGCGAGAAAGAGCACAGCTGGATTCCATGGGTCAAGTTGAGCAGCAGTCAGCCCTGAGCCAAGGTTGTCTGTGAGGGTTTGGCCCCGTGAAGTAGCTGGGAAAACACAGGAGCCCCTGGGAAGGTCCACAGGCAGTTTGGACCTTGGACTAAAGGGAAAGAGAAGGAGCAGGTCAGGAAGCCCCTGGGCCTCTTCACAAAGCCACGGCCAGCCCGAGGGACACTGTCGGGGCTGCTGGCTCAGCCCCCGGCCTGGGAACAGGACCCAGGGAGGCTCTGTACCCCTTCTGTTCAAGGCCCTTCCTTTGTTTCTCACCGGCTCACCCTTGTCCATGCTTAAAAAGGCAGTGGGACTGTGTTGGGAGCTGGTCCCGAGGGTCCCACCCCAGCTCTGGCCTCCCGGCCATCTGAGGGCAGCAAGTGACCCCCCTGCTCCCCAGCCTCAGCTGCAGATAGAGCATGTGCTGTGCCCGGCACGGTGTCAGCAGTGAGAACATGCCAGCGCCCAGCCCTTGCCGTCTCCCCCCCAGAGACCACGGCCGCCCACCTGAGCTCTCAGAGCACCACCCACCCCTTGCCCCCAGCCAGGCCTCCTGCTCCCTGCACTGTACTCGCCCTGTCATGTGTCCCCAGGCTGGTCCTGGCCATAGAGATGAAGCAAGCTCTTACCCATAAATGTCCTCTGTGAGCCTCTGAATCATCATTCTTGAAACTCTGTCTTGGAATTTGCTCTGTGGCCCCCAGTTGAGTGTGTCAAGCAGGGAGGCTCAAGGCTGGGGGGATGCGGGGGTGCTGTGGAACGTCACTTCCCTGGGAACGCTCCTGAGTTCAGCTGGCTCACACATGGATCAGATTTGGGCCCAACATCCTCTGCCAGGGAAAATAGAAACCGTAAAAAAAAATTAGAAAGGAATAGAAAGAAACTTTTCCTCAGCCACAGTGAGTCACCAATGGGAACATGAGCAAAAGCCTCACAGGGAGCTGGGCAGGGGGTGGGGGCGGGGAGCTGGGGGCTCTCTGCCCCTAAGTGTCCGAGCAGGTGGAGAGCAGGGTGACTGCTGTCCAGGCCGGGCCAGGAACCCCTGCTCCGTGGGTGGGGCTGGGACCCCACTTCACTTTCAGACGTGCACCCTGGAAAGTCCTAGAGCTGGGCCCAGGTTCTGCCTGGGGGCAGGGAGGCAGCCACAGGGCCTGTTAGGGGATCCCTGTCTGCTGAGGAGCACGGCAACTAACCAGACTCCCCAAGGGCAGCCCAAAGCAGGTCCAGGGGAGTGGGAGGCTCGCGGCCTTCTGTGGCTGCCATTCACCCTTTCAGGGCCCAGTGCCTCCTGCTGGGCGGGAGGGGGGTGTCGGTGTGCATGTCCAAGGGCTCTTGGGAGCTAGTGGGGGTCTGCTGGACCCCCTGGCCTCTGCAGCCCCACCTCCAACTTCCTGAGAGAAGCCAGGGCCTTCCCCTCGCTCCCCGGAAGGATCTGCCCAACGGGCCACAGCAGGACCGGGCTTGCCAGGGAGAGGGAGACTGATCTCTCAGCCTGGTAGGCCCACTCTAGGTGCCTCCAGAGAGAGGAAAGAGAGTTCCCGGGAGAACCTGTGGGCCGATGGTCAGTCCTCGGGAGAGAGAGCTGGAGGGGCTCTCCCCACCCACGGTCAGGAGCGGGGACCCTCAGAGGTTAGCAGCAGCCCCATCTTGGAGGAATGGGCCAGGGCAGAGCCCTGCAGGCCGCCGTGGAGGGCCAGGGGACATGCAGGCAAAGCTGCCAGGTGGGGGGCACCAAGGCCACGTTGCCCATTTCAGTAATGCCCCTTGCCCCCAGCAGGGGGCGGTGGGGGAGCCAGGAGCTCCCACATCGGAAGGGGTGAGGAGGTGGAGAAGAATGGGAAGGAATGGAACCCACCCTCTTTCCAGTCTGCTGGGGCCCATCCCACAGGGACGCGGAGGGAAGATGCTGTGGGTTGGGCAAGGAACGGAGGCTTTGTTTTAGCTCCGGCTGGCCTTCAGAGGAGGCAGCTCTACTCCTTGCGGTGAGGAGACCCCAGGATGGGCCTGGGGCAGGAGGGAGAGGAGATTTACCCCCTCCTCCCACCATCCCAGAAGTCAGTCTTAGAACTGTGACCTCGAATAATTCCGTCGACTTAGTCTGTAAGAGGAGGGTGGCTCAGGACCCCTGGGGCCCCTGCCCCAAGGGAAACAGCCTGAGGAGCAGGGTTAGTATCTGCAGCCTGGTTTGGGCCTTGGGAAGTGTGAGGGTCATTCCCCCCCCCCCCACCTTGGCCCTGTTCCCTCCACCCACCAGACCTCAGGGTTCCTGCTTTCCAAATGTGGTCACCGGAAGCACTGGAGAATGCTGGTGGGGGGCCATGGGGTGGGGGTTGGGAGGCCTGGGGGGGAGGCAGGGAGGAGGCCCTCTACTGGCCCTTCTGGGGAAGAGCTGAGCTCTGGGCCAAAAGATGTCCCCAGGCCACCCCAGCAGGAGACCGCATCCCCCCATGTGGTTGCGACTGCAACGTCCACAGTCTCATTGCCTCCACCTCCTGGTCTCCAGCCCACAGCGCCCCCACCCTGGTGCCTGCCCCCGCACCTTTGGGCCCCCAGGCAATTTGTGCCTGCCTCTGTGGCCGTGGCTCCGGACTGGCTCACTGGCTCCTGGAGCTGTCAACCAGCTGCCAGCCTAAGCATGGCCCAGAGAGCCAGCAGGCCTGGAGGCAGCCTTCCTCTGGAGACCGTCAGGCTGGAGGGCACCGGCAGTCAGTGACTGGACCATCCGCGGACAGAGGGCAAGGGGAGGGCAACGACCGCGGGGAGACAGAGTCCTGGCCTGTGGGGGAAAAGGCAGGGGGGATCTCAGTGGGGGAGACTCGAGCCGCCCCAGGCCTGGACTCCCCCTGGTCAGGTACCCAAGTCTCTGGACCTGGACGTGGATGGCAGACGGGAGAGTGATTCATACTTGTCCAGCAGGCCACATCTCTCCCCATTCTTTTTTTTTTTTTTTTTTTTAAGATTTCATTTATTTATTTGACAGAGAGAGGTAGAGGCACAGCGAGAGAGGGAACACAAGCAGGGGGAGTAGGAAAGAGAGAGGCAGGCTTCCCACCGAGCAGGGAGCCGGATGCGGGACTTGATCCCAGGACTCCGGGATCATGACCGGAGCTGAAGGCAGTCGCCTAACCGACTGAGCCACCCAGGCGCCCCCCATCTCTCCCCATTCTCAAGCGAGAAAGCAGCCGCTCCGGGAGAAGTGATGTGTTCAGGTCACAGCGTGTCACCGACGGGGAAGGGCCAGGCAGGGACTCCGGAGCCAGACTGAATGTTCTTTCCATCTGGGCTCCACAGCCTCCGGCCCCGGGCCAGGGGGCCGTAGTGACACCAGCCCCTCCTGCTGAGGCCCTAGTGTCACCACGGGACATCCTGCTCTCGGCCTGGGCAGAGGGGGGACATTGACCCCCCAACAGCACCGCATACCCACGGTCTGGCTGGGGTAGCCACCGGGCCCGGGAACAGGGACAGGCAGGAATGGCAGAGCCGGGAGGCCCCGAGGACACCCTCCTAGGCTCCTGGGGCCTCAGGGGAGGCAGCTCACATACCAAGGCTGGGCCGTGAGGGGAGCGAAGCCTCAGTACTGAGATGGCCCAGTGGGGCCTTCGGAAGGGCCTTCCTCCACGGCCTGGCCAGCCAGCCCACGTGTGGGGATGCTCTCACTGGAAGGCCTGGAAAGCCCAGGCTCTGGACGGCAGGCCTGGGATCATGTCCCAGCTCCTCTCCGTCTCCTGGAGTCCTGGGTCTGTCTCCAGGGAGCAAGGGAGAGAAGACCCCGGGCCCATCCCACCCTTCTGCTCCTCCCTCTTGGGATCGGCCCCTAGAAATGCCCCCTTGCCCACAGTCTGGATGTTAACAGGGGGGTCAGGCTGCTCGGGGGCCTCGGGTCTCCCAGACAGTGTCTAGTCATCCACACAACTGGCAGAACAATTTCCTTGGGTTTCTGACATGTGATTTTCCACAGTCCGGTGTCCCCGCCCAGCTCACCAGGCCTGCTCTGCTGAGTGAGCAGAGTTCCGCCGGATTCCTTCCACTCACCACAGAACCCAGCCCCTCGGGGAGACGGGGGTCACCGCAGCCACAGGGGTGCTGCCGGCTGGCGGGGGGCAGGCTTCCAGTGCCCTGGGAGAGTCTGTGTCGGTGGACGGACAACGGCCAGCCAGTGGCGCGTCCCAGGGGAAGGGTTCCAGACAGCGTCTGCCGGGAAACAGAATGTGGATCCTGGTGCCCATCCTCGCCCAGATGAACTCCCAATGGGTTGAAGATACAGCTGTTAAAAGAGGAGCCATCCCGGTCTTCAAGGGAAACAGGGGTCTGAGTTTGGGTTCCTCTTGGGAGAAGGTTCTCAGCAGGAACTGCAGAAGAAGTATTAAGAACTTCGGCTGGATAAAAGTTTTAGCTTTCTTTTCAAAACATACTGAAGTTTAAATGAAAGGGCAAATGAAACGCTAGGGAAGGACCTACACCCCCAAACAGAGAGAGCATTTTAGGGGTGCACTGTGACCCCAGAGCGGCTCTCTGAGCCTCTGTTTCTCCCCTCCAACAAGAGGTCCCAAGGGCACAAGGACTGCCTCCGATAAATCTAGAAAGGTGTGCCTAAAAAACAGTGTCTTTGATAAAAGGAAGCTGTTCGATAAAATTCTTTACATTTCTTTTTTTAAGATTTTATTTATTTATTCATGAGAGACAGAGAGAGGGAGAGGCAGAGGCAGAGGGAGAAGCAGGCTCCCCGCAGAGTAGGGAGCCCAATGCGGGGCTCGATCCCAGGACCCTGGGATCATGACCTGAGCCAAAGGCAGACGCTTAACTGACTGAGCCACCCAGGCGTCCCAAATTCTTTACATTTTTAAACCAATCTTTGTTCCCGTTTTTTAAAGCGAGTGATGACACAGAATCCGGCAAGTCACACAAGTACAAGCCTAAGTGGCCAGTAAATACTTACCAACTGTTGACCTCATTAAAAATCAGGAAAATGCCAATTAAAATATGCTCGGTCCTCCTTTTCCTATGTAAGATGCTCCAGGATTGAATGTCTCCTGGCGCAGGCGGTGCTGGGGAGCGACTGACCACCGTCACTCAGGGTCACTTGGCTGCAAAGAACAGGACGGAAAAAAAAAAAAAAAGAACAGGACCTTGCTGTGCTTGCTCACTGTGTGTGTCCGACTGGGCTGGGGACGCCCTGGTGCTGGTAAAATGTTACTTCTGGGTGTGTCCGTGTGGCGTTTCCAGAACAGGTTTGCTGAGCCGCACCCGTGTGCTGGAAAAAGCTGACAGTCCTCCCCAGCGAGCCAAACGTGCATGAGAGCGAGATGAATCTCTGTCTCCCTTCCCCCCTTTCCCACTCTCTACATCTCTGTATCTGCATATGTATTATATACATACACTTCTGTTTATAGTGATACACATACATATACCCTGTGGGTTCCGTTGCTCTGGAGAACCCTGGCCAGTACCTCCTCCACAGCAGCCGAGCCTGGACGGGCCATCCCACGGACACCTGGTGGGACAGGGCCTCTGCTCTCCTCTGCAGCCCAGCCTTCCCTGTCCCCCCCAGGCCCCGCCACACCCCGGAACTTCAGCTCACTACAGGTCCCAGGGAAGGCTGGGACCGGGTGACTGGACGCCAGCCTACCCCTCGTTCCCGTCTGCCTCAGCCAGAGGGCTGGCTGCATGCACACCACACGGGGCTGCACCGGGCCACCTCCCCGGGGGCCACGAGAGGACCTGAGGGTTGAGCAGGCCCCAGCTCGTCTTCTCAGGAACCTGGATGCCAGCCTTACAAAGATCATGTGCCCCGGCACCCCCACCTATGACACTCTCGCGCCCTGAGGTGGGCTGTGGCCACATGGAGGTGCCCTGTGGCCCTGGGGGTGACAAGCCTGCTTGCACAGCCCATCCACAGGGAATCTGGGGAGCAAGATACTGCGTTAGTCACTGAGAAATCCCCCCCGGGCCCACCCAGACTAATATGTGTCCTGTCTTGGGGACGCATTTGCTGTTCCTTCTGCTGACATCACTACTTTCTGTCCTTTACCCAAAGAGCCCCTCTCACTGAGGCTCCCCACACTGCCCTGCATAGAACTTCAGCCCTCCCCCGTGTGCCCCAAAACAGCCCACCCACGCCCCCAGTTGCTAGCTGACATATTGACCCATGGGGCCATCCTGAGGGTATTAAGTGGCCTGCCTGTGCAGATGCCCTTCGCCCTCATCCTGTGACTTTGTAGGCCCCTCCCCCCTTGACTATAGGCTTGGCCACGTGGCTGCTCTGGCCAGCGGGACAGGAACAGACCTGGCTCAAGGAGAGGCTTGAAGAAGCGCTTGCAGCATCCTGCTCCCTGTCCCCCCAACCTTCCAGAACTATGAGGGCAAACCGGGGCTGGCCCGCTGGAGAACAGACCACAGGGGCAGGCTGAGGCCCTGGGGGGACCGACATCCTGCCAGGGGGACCATGAGGGCGACCAGGGAGGCCAGCCAAGCCGGGCTCAGACAGGCAGAACAGCCTGGAGAGTTGGCAGGCATGTGAGCTAATAAATGTGATTGCTTCCATCTGCTGAGCTAGGTGGTTGGTCACTCAGCAGGGTCTGACACTTACTCGTGCATTTACTACCTTTCTCCACCGCCGTGATGTTTACTACTGCATCCCGCCTGTTTAGAGGACAGCCCGGCACACAAGGCCCTGAGTAAACATCTGTTAAGTGTCTGAACATGGGACAGATACCTTCATAGGGTCCCGTGAGCCAGAGAGTAGCGTCGGCTGGAACCGTGTGACGACAGGAGTGTGGTCAGTGCTGGAGCTCACGAGGAGCTCATAGTCCTGTGTACACACACTGTCCCCAAAGAAGGGGAGTCAGACTCAGCGTCTAGAACCCCAAAGACATGGAAGTCTGGGGGGACCACCACCCCATGTGTGTCCAAGGCCAGCCCTCAGGGACTCCTGTGGGATTGTGTAAGCCAAGCCAGGCCAACCCCAGGCTGCACGGGCTCACCATGGGCACAGGGGCATCTCCTGGTAAGAAGTGCTTGCCAAGGGCAGCCAAAGTCAAGTTGTATGCATTTTGTGCCAGGATGACTTGCTCAGTCAAAAGCATTCATAGACTGGCTCTATGAGTGGCACTGTCACCCTGAGCCCACGCAGGAGGAGACAGATGCCATTGCCCAGCAGGCTGAGGGGCGAGCAGGAGGCCCAGCCAGGGCTTTGTTACCAGCACAGGGCTCCTGGAGGGAGGAGTCAGTGCGCTGGGCCAGGCAAGTCCCTGCAGGGAAGGGATGGTGTCCTGGAGAGGGGCATGCACCTGCCAAGGTCCAGAAAACCCTGCTGGAGGGGAGCAGCTGAAAGGATTGTGGAAGGACGGGGACAGTGTGGACAGGGGTTAGGGGCAATGTGAGGCCTGTGTGGGTCTGCAGGAAGCCGACTAGAACTGGGGTTCTATCCCGTGGGCAGAGGGACTTCCTGCAGCTGAGTGGAGTCACAGAGACTAGAAGGACTGCGGGGTGCAAGGATGCCAGGCTGGGGACGATACTGGGGCAGCGCCCGCAAAACCTGGGCTCAGCAGATGGTGGGGGAGGGGCCAGCCAGGCCACTGGTTGTAACAGGTGGGTGGGGGTCTGAGGGGGGCCCACAGGAGGAGAATTTCCAGAGGAGGGGATGGGTAAAACAGGGTGGGGCATGCCCTGCAGACCG